TCCATTTTTTCCTCTATAGATTGTAATGAAGTTGTGTGCAGGATTATTTGATGCCTATATCTTTTCAGTTGTTTCTTATAGTTTACCTTTTCTGTTCCTACTTTGTGAGATTTGGCTTCACATTCTTGTATCAATTTGCAGTCTTTGTTCACTTTTATCTTGGTGATAACCATGTTACTGGCGTGAATGCCAAGAACTTAATGTTGCTGCACCCATTCAGTGTAGGTGGCAAGTTGCTCGTTGTGAACTGTGACTGCTTTGCCAGTTTGCTGATCTTTGTAGTCGCCTTGAACAACCTTAACTTCATCATCCTTTCAGATGGACGTGAACCCAGCATTATATTCCTGTCTTGGTTCCTTGGAAAGAGGAGAAGACACAATCCTCCTGTGAAAGTGGCATGGTTCATGAGCTTGGACTTGCCTTTTATAGTTTTTGCTCCTGTCAGAAGTCAAAAAGGGATTGACTTTCATTTTGTTGATGTCACTAAAGTGGTGATGAAAGCCAGAGGAATAGGCTTCTTCTCTGGAGCTCCTGGTGGCAGCTGAATGCTAAACCATTGTGTCATCAAGGTGCTTCTCATAATGATGACAGCATAGAAAACCCTCTAGGGTACTTCTCTGTCATGTGGGTCACAAGTTGAAAGTTGACAGCACCTGACAAGGTAAAGTGGAGGCAGTGGGCACACACGCCTCTGCCCCAGACCCCTATTTTTGAAAGTGATACTGGATACCCCTCGAAGGCCAGAACAGAGTATTTTGACCTGGAGCCTAGTGAGAACAAGAGAAAATCTTCCCTCCCTTTGTCCTCAGACAAGACCTGGATGAATTATAGATGATGGGAGATTTCTCAGGCAGCATGGACTGAAAGGAGACACCTGGCTTCTTCCCTATCCTGGGAGCCTGGAGTTGCTCTCTTGCATAGAATAGGACTTGAACTGAAGGGTCAGTGGCACTCGAGGGGGTCAGTGGCATTTGCTCATAGATAGTGCTAGACCTTCGTCCCTGGTTATAACACCACAAGGCCTTGGGGGTTCTCTCAGCCTATCCCCACCCCCTCAAGCAGTGGTTTTCCTGGGAGCAACTTTCTCTATTGCTCTGGGGCTGTGCTCTGGCTCCAGGCCAGCCAGGCAAGCGACTAAAAGCTGAGATTTTTTTCCACTGTCATTCCTGGGATGAGCTTGCAGTTAGCAGGTGTTGCTTGGAGCACAGGTGAGTAAATGCCTTGGGCTCCTATGAGCTGAAGCACTGACTTAGGTGAGCAAACAAGAAGTAGCTTAGAGAAAGGACCTAATTGATACTATACTCCTGGTAGAATGACAGCTCTGCAAATAACTGGTTATGTGAAAGCAGGAGAATGTGAAATTTCTCTTTGAACCTAGTGGGGAGAAGCAAGGTAGGCTGTGGAGAAGGGGGTAAAGAGGGGTCCAGAATGGAGAGGGCCATGTTCTCTGAGTTCATTCTGGTTGGAATAAAGAAATGAGCAATGAGGGTTAAGAGGCTTCCATGATGTTGCAGTTTCAAGTGATAGTTCTTGCCAGAAGGCAGGTGATGGAGGTGAAATGGTGAAGGGGCAGAGGGAGGATGTCCTTGAGACCATGTTGGAGCTTGAAGAGTAAGGTGAGATCCCTGAATAGTGTTTGCTCTTACTTTTCTTCTTTAGTATCACTGCATCCTCAGAGTCCTAGTTGAAGGAGTGAAGCTTGAGTCTCCGCATCTGTGAGGCCTGATGCCATCCTCACTCCTGCCATCCTCACTCCTGCCCCTCATGGGGCAAGGGTGGGGCAGGTATGACCGCTTCTCCCTCACGGTGGCCATGGTCACAGTGATGGCATCAGTCTTTGCTGGGAATCTGATAGCAACATGCCCGGCACCCTGCACTTGCCTAACAGAGGGTAGTGTGGTGGACTGTGGGGGCCTCCGCCTACTCAGCCCTCCTCCCAAACTCCCTGACCAAGTTTGGCTCCTGGAGCTGAGCCACAATAATCTCAGCAGCCTGCAGGTTGGCTCCTTCCAGGGACTCTGGGGACTCCGAGTGTTACTGCTTTCTCATAATGGCCTGCAGGATTTGACTGGTGGGGCCCTGCAGGGTCTGGGCTTCTTGGAGCAGCTGGATCTCAGCCACAATCAGCTGGCCCACCTACCCCTGGACTTCTCAGCCACACTGGGCTCTTTGCTCCACCTGGACCTCTCCCACAACCTGCTCACCATCGTGGATGCCTGCAGCTTGCAGGGCCTAGGGAACTTAGAGCAGCTTGACCTGAGCCACAACCACTTAACTGAACTGCATACAGATGGGCTCAGTGGCCTTTTCCACCTGCGCTGGCTCTCGCTGGCTGGGAACCAGCTGCAGCAGGTCAGTGGCATAGCCTTGGCTGCCATGCCTGGCCTGGAGGTCTTCTCTCTGGCAGGGAACAACATCAGCAAGCTGGAGGCTGAGGCCTTTGTGGCCCTGCCATCACTGGGCCTGCTCTCTCTTGTGGACAACCAGCTACAGCATCTCGAATTCAAAGTGGTGGCAGGCATCCGGACAGTGGGCACGAAGCTGCTTCTAGCCAACAACCCTTGGTTTTGTGACTGTGACCTTCAGCGGACTTTTGGAAAGCTAGGCCACCTTCGACACCTGCATGTGGCTGACCTGGGCAACCTGACGTGTGCTGGGCCTGGGCGGCTGGCTGGAGCCATGCTGAGCAGGGTAGAGACTCAACTCTGCTTAGCTGAGACAGCCACAGTGCTGGGCATCACGGGCACTATGTTGGTCACTGTGGCTCTGGCTGTGGTTCTTGCTGAGCATAAACGCAAGCAGGGCCCTCGAGGGGCAAGTGAGCCTTCTGAAGAGATGAGGGGTACTGGAGGAGGGAGATCATGGCAACTGGAAGAGAGCGAGCTGTGGGAGAGATAGAGTGTTCAAAAATGTGGGGAGGGAAAAAAAATAAATGTGGGGAGGGAGTTATAGGTAAGGACAAAAGCTGTGGGACAAAAGCCTAGGGTTCTCTGCATTCACCTTGCCCAGCCTTTTCATTCCTAAACAGGTGGAGTTGGTTCCTTTTTAAAACTCTGGGGAAAGGCAGTAATAGACGCCAGGGTGAAATGAAGCCTAGTGGGAATAGGAACAGATAAGAAGGAACACCCTAGACCCTTCCTCAGACAAGCCCCTGGCCTCTACTTGTTGGCTGCTGAAGTTATGGTGAGAGGTGGGTCACTGTTCCTGTGGGAACAAGTCCGTATAGTTCAGATGGGTCCTGAGAGCTGTGTGTCTTGCCTTTCCGTTTCAATCCTGGATGAGAGAGAAAAATGGAAAAATGAAACCAGTTTGGAAAGTGAATTCTGTACTGTGTATTTCAAGGAAGACAATTTCATTTGTGTGATCATCACCTGAAGGGTCTTCATCCCTCAACATTCACCTACTAATCCCATTTCTTAGGACTTTGCATAGATACATCTCTCTCCCTATGTGTTCCTGTTTACCCAGACTGTCTTAGTAACCTTGTAAAAAATGAGAGGTCAAATTATGGTTTGTTGCCCAACTTTCAATTCTGGGAATTCTAAATTTAGTTGGTTTACTCTTTGGGGTGTAAATCCCTTCCTCTCCAGGAAATGAGACAAGTCTCATGGATTAAATAATCTACTGAAGGTATTTGCAGCGTTTTAACCAACTCAGGAAGATGAATTAATTTCATTTGGGGTTCATGAAGTGGTGCCTTTGTGCTGGTAACCCCAGAGTACCTGGGATTTTTGCTCATTTATTAATTCAACAGTTCTTTACTGAGCACCTGCTAGTAAAGAACTGGGCATAGGTCTTTTGTTAGGTAGGTAGCCCTTTCTGTATTTCCTGAGTGTATTCTATGCAGGAGGCCTTAAGGGTGTAATAAACCAGGCATGGTCCTTGCCATAGAACTCAAAGTCCATTGGAGAATGCAACCATTAATAAAAGAATAATAAACATACTTGTCAAACTGTTAACTGTTGAAAAGGTAAGATATTGGTGTTACAAGACCTTATAAGAGGGGAAGTTGTAAGCAGTTTGGAGGAGTCTGGGAGAAACAACAAAACTATTGCAGTAGGATTGACAAAAGAAGTTGATAGTTTGAGTTAGAATGAAAGTATTCTAGCCGGAGAAAGTAAGTTGATTTGAAATGGCCCATATCAAGGAGTTCAGGTGCTGTCACTGTTATGTGTTGGGCCAAAATGTCAGCGTTCCATTCCACCAGCTGCTCCGCTGGAGAAAGATGGGCAGTCTCCTTCCATAAAGATTTATAGCCTTCCAAACCCAGTGGAGGGTAGCCCTGAGTCCACACCAACTCCATGTTGTTGTGTACCGTGGAGTCGGAACCCACCCATACCTGACCCTCCAGGGGCTTTTCAGAAGCCGTCCTCCCGCGAAGTGGTTGGTGGATTCGAATTGTGTACCCTTGATATGCAGTTTCTTGCCACTAGAGTTCCACCACCTCCCATGCAGTGAGGGGAATACGTTCATATCAGACCTTCCAAATTTCTCTACAGGTGACTTAACCAAAGAACAAATAAACCAGAAGCTGAAAGATTTCCTCAGGTGTAAGTGTAGCATTCATTGAACCTCTAGTATGTGCCAGGACCAACATGTCATATATATCTCATAAGTTACAACAATCCTGTGAACCCTAGTATTATCCCTAGTTTGTAGATGGAGGCTCCAAAAATGTCAATACATCCAAAGACAAAGGGTTAGAATATTCAAAGACTAATTCACAAGGTACATCAAACGACTTCTGAAGTCTTGCATCCAGTAGTCCTTCCTCTAGTTTACTTTTTAATTTTGCAACTGCTAGGAGGAAGTCCTAATCTTTCAAGGTCAGAACTCACTGTGAGTGTCCCTTCTTAGCTCCGGAACTAGAAAGTGAAAGCCTTGTTCCCAGACGGACGGGGAAGGGTGGGGGGGGGGGAAGAGTGGTTCCCGGAAGTAGTGTATACCACTCCTGGGTCGGCTTCCTTCCCGGGAGTGAGGCCGCAGGGGACTGCCCTTCCTCAAGATGGCGTCGAAAGTGGGTTCGAGACGGTGGATGCTGCAGCTAATCATGCAGCTGGGTTCAGTGCTGCTCACACGCTGTCCCTTCTGGGGCTGCTTCAGCCAGCTCATGCTGTACGCTGAGAGGGCGGAGGCGCGCCGGTGAGTGTTCCCACACAGAACGCGGTGCTCGGGGAGGCGGTGCGGCCAACCCTGAGAACGGAGGATGCGGTGGACTGGGGAAGAATCTGGCGCTTGCAAGATAGGGTCCCGGGACTGGGAGGAATTTCCTCCTCGGACGTGATAGGAAGGGGTCTGGTCCGTGGTGGAGTGGGCATTGAGTACGCTATGGGGGTTCTGACCGTGGAGGAGGTATCCAGTTTGGTGGAGCTTGTGGGGCCTTAAGAGGTCTCGCCTTTCTCTCCTTTACCCCCGCCCCCTCTTCTTTTCTATTCTCATTTCCCTGATCCTGGTTCACAGGAAGCCTGACATCCCTGTACCCTACCTGTACTTCGACATGGGGGCTGCTGTGCTGTGCGCTAGCTTCATGTCCTTCGGGGTGAAGCGGCGTTGGTTTGCACTCGGGGCTGCACTCCAGCTGGCCATTAGCACCTATGCCGCCTACATTGGGGGCTACGTCCACTATGGGGACTGGCTGAAGGTGAGCGTCTTAGTCCAAAACAGGGCTTCATGAGGGTGATGGGGATTTTTTTGATGTAGGGGCTGGTGCGTAGTTCAAAGGCTTAGAGGACTGAACTCTGGGGAGTAGAGAGTGCAGGAGTAGAAGGACTTTGGAGACCACACTAACCTTTCTTTCGAAATAGGGAAGTGAGACCTGAGATTCTCCTAAAATCATACTGGAAGTTAACATCACAGGTGGGACCACAGCCGAGGTTACTTGGTTGCCAGACCGTTTGTGCCATTATTTTAGTAATCAGGTTCACAAGTTAAAACTTGGGAATAAGGGGTCTGATCATCTGCTTTAATGAAATGTAATTCATTGTAATGCAGTATTGAAGTAGGTAAGTGCAAACTTGTGTGAGGCACTCAGTTGGGATAAGGCTGGACAGTGGCATTACCCATTAGGAAGGATACTTAGAACAGGAGAGGCTAATATGTAAACAGATCAGTGAGGCTTTTTCTTTTTAGTTTAAAATGGAATAGACTCTATACTGTGCAGAGAAAAGAACATTAACATTGGGATTAGTCTGCAGACCTGAAGTGGGATTACATGTGGTTTTGGGTTCTGCCACTTGGTCTTTATAGGACCTTGTATAATAAATCCCTCAGGGTCTCAATTTCTACTTGTTTCAAAAGAATTCTCTTTGCTTGCTGTGCTGGCCTACCATGCTTGGAGATGGTAAAAGAGTTCATTAACTAGAATGTGATATTTGACAGATGGGCAACTAAGAAAAACGTGCTTGGCTGTGGGTCCTAAGAGTTCATTAAATAGAATGTGATATTTGACAGATGGGCAACTAAGAAAAACGTGCTGGGCTGTAGTTCCTAACTGGGTTCCCTTGGCCTAGGTCCGAATGTACTCACGCACGGTTGCCATCATCGGTGGCTTTCTCGTGCTGGCCAGTGGTGCTGGTGAGCTATACCGCCAGAAACCACGCAGCCGCTCCCTGCAGTCCACCGGTCAGGTGTTCCTGGGCATCTACCTCATCTGTGTGGTAAGTTGGGGAATTGTTAGCTAAAGGTACATGGCTGGAAGGAAAATGAGAGCCCAGAGAGGTATGTAGTACTAGGTCTGCATGTAGACCCTGATGCTCTGGCTCCAAAAAATTGCTCCAGCCGACTTCTGGCATTGAGTAACCAAATGCCTAAGGCTTGGCTTGTAATCCTTTTTCCCAACACTGTTGCCACCAGGGAGAGAAGAGGTTGAATTGAACATGTCTTAAGGGGACAAAAGTTTGGTGGGTATCACGTTCTACACAGGACTGACTTTTACCCAGAGCTGATTAGGGCTGCTCAGGGTAGTTCTGGTCATCCTCGGTGCTTGGGGAAGCCAGTGTGAATGGAGACTGACCAGGCTGCCTGGCCTTTTCTTTGTTACTGGGTACCATATTGTGTACATATGCGGAGCTCTTTCAGCTCCTATGGGATAATAAAGGTGGGAACCCGAGTCTGATCGTGGAGACCCGATCTGCTCTTCAGAGCCCTCTGGGTGAGAAAATATTGAAGCCCTGACTTCTTGGGTCTACACAGCCTATGGGAAGCCCAGCTTCTAAAGAGCGCTGAGTCTGAGGGGAGTTTGAAGCCCACCTTGCAGAGGTCATCCTGCAGGCTCTGTCTCAAGGTGTTCTTCCCCAGTCAGGCTTCTCAGCCTACTGCCGAGTTTCTGAGAGAAGGATGTGTCTCCAGGCCTACTCTCTGCAGCACAGCAAGGAGGACCGACTGGCGTATCTGAATCACCTACCAGGAGGAGAGCTGATGATCCAGCTGTTCTTCGTGCTTTATGGCGTCCTGGCTCTGGCCTTCCTATCAGGCTACTACGTGACCCTGGCTGCCCAGATTCTGGCTGTTCTGCTGCCCCCAGTCATGCTGCTCATTGATGGCAACGTTGCCTACTGGCATAACACACGTCGAGTCGAGTTCTGGAACCAGATGAAGCTTCTTGGAGAGAGTGTGGGCATTTTTGGGGCTGCTGTCATTCTGGCAACTGATGGCTGAGTTGCAGGCTAAGAGGGTGAGCTGGGTGCAGGGAAGCCACAGAGGACCAGCCTGCCTTCCTCCTTGCTGGCTTGGTTGCTGTTTGTTTATCCTTTTTGATCTGTTTGTTTGATCCTTTGCTTTTTTGTTGTTACTGTTGGTAGGAGGTAGGTCCCTTCCCTGAATTCCTGGGTTCAGACCTTGGGAGGGTAGAAACCCTCAAAGTGATGTTTTGTGGGCTTGTTGATGTTCAGTTCAGAGGAGTATTGCTGAGGGCAGCCGCACCCCAGGACCTCTTGTCACTGAGAAGGGACTAATCCAGGGCTAGGTGGGAAACTGACCAGTGGGAGACAGAGGAAGATAGGGAACTAGAAGTAAGCAAACATGAAATTTCTTTTTTTTCAACCCAGAGGATGCAGCCATGGTGCTTTATGGAGAATGAGAGTCAGTGGGTGTGTTGGTGCACAAGTACTAGGCCTGGGAGGAGCAAAGGGTCCGGGCACCAGAGCAGTCATGTGGATTCTCAGGGTATCCAGGCGATGGTGCCAGCTCTCCCACCCACCTGGAGAGCAGGGCAGTGCTGTCTGAGTGTGCAGGGGTAGGTAGAGCAGGCAGCAGCTAGCATCCTGCCCCTGCTGTTTCCAACTTCGTGGTTGGCCTAATGGGAGCAGAGTGCCCTCCCAAACACCAGACCACACAGTCCTCCAAAAATAAACATTTTATATCAACATTTGGCTTTGGTCCTCTCTACTCCCCACAGGGCACTTTGCCATTGGTTGGGATTGATTCTGGGCTTCTTGTAGGTCTGTACTTAATTAAACCTCACCACTCTCCTCCCATTACCCACCCTTCATTCTTAGTGCTCTCACAGTCCTTAGTCTCTCTTTTCAAGAATCTCAGTCCATCCTGCAGTATATGCCTTCCTCTCCATTTGGTGCAGCTCTTTTTGGAGAAATTTGTCAAAAGGCAGCTCGAAGGAGAGAATTAATATTAAACGTCTACTCTGAAGATGAGTAATATCTCCATTTTACAAATAAGAAAACAAGGCTCAGAGAATGGAAGAAGCTTGTCCAGAGTCACAGAGTAAATTGGTGCCTGGACTGCAGGTCACGCTGTCTTCTGCCCCAAAACCTATCATCTTATGTCCTGAGGACAGACAGGCTGTTCTTGGGGCCTCTGTTCTGGCACAGCTTGTAGTGGACTATGATGGGCTCCTAATTGCCCTTCTCCCACCTGCCCACATGCCACCTGACAGGATTTAACCTCAGTGTCAAGTGTGGAATCTAATACATCGTGGGGCTTCAACCTCCAGTGGGGGCAACGGGGAAACGTTTAGGTTTGGGCTTTGAAACCAACCATTTCCTGGTGAATTTCTAGGGTCTTGTAGGTCTTTTGCATTTGTAGCCTTGGAAGGGCATTCAGGAGTGGGAAAGGGAGCCAGGCTACTGGATCTGGTCTATGGAATGGAAATTGTTCCCTTTGGACCCTTCTGGGGACTGCTGACACCACATAACAGCAACATTTTTACGTGGGACCTCCCTTAGCACCTGCTTCCTCTCTGAGTCTCATGCTTCTCCAGCCGTCATGATCTTGCTCCCAGAGGGTTGCCTAAAGTGTGAGCTGACTCTGGGACAAATCATTGCATTTTAATCAAGTTTTAAACTTCCTCCTAAAGTTTTAAGAACTGAAAGAATTAAAATGAGTAGTGGCACATCAGGCAGGTAGGGGTACTGTATTGGGCACAGGATCCTCAAAACAGCCCAGACGCTGTGGAAGCCAGCTCTCCCTCACGTTCCGCTGAGTGGAGCCCTCCAAGTAGGCCTGTCCCCCATCCCAGAGTTGAGATTCAAAACCAGACCATCTGGCTGTGGCTTTGGAGCAAGTGGAGGTCTTGCATGGGCCCCCTTTTTTTTAGTGTTCATTCCACTTTAGTGCCCCAACCTCAGCAGAGTCCACTGGGGGATGCTTTCTGCTCTGCAGATCACTCAGCCAATGAGATGAATCCTGGCTGCTCAGGGGCACTCCCAGCAGGCATGGCTTTCAGTCCACCCTGGCTGTCCCGGGGCCTGCAGGGCCCATGATGAGGGTCAGCTGCCAGGGTGTGAAGCTGGCTTGCTGAAGGAGTCCGGCAACCCTTTGGCATGGTTGACCAGCTCATAGGAGTCACGGATATCGGCCAGGCCAAACCAGAAGAAGATCCACTGCTTATTGGAGAAGCTGCCATCGCTGTGCTTGAAGTACCTGCAGGTGGGGTGTGAGGTGAGGGTGAGGCATATTGAGAACCTGACCAGTACTCACCGGTTCTTTCACAGAAGACCTGCTATATGTTCGTCACCTTTCCGAGACCTTGTGTATTTTCTGATTTCATCACAGCAGCACTATGAGAAGCCTCTATAGTTCAGAGAAGCTAGGTAACTTCTCGGCGTCACACAAGAACATCAGAGGGAGGGTGAACCTTGCTTTCTCCACAGTGCCTAAGCTATGGCACTTAGTTTGAGTCCTGGGGGTCAGGCTTCCTGTGTGTGGTCTGCCGTTTGAGGAATGTGAGGCTATATTTATATATATATACACACACACACACACACACACACATACACATACACATATGCATGCCTCAGGCTTTGGGGTGGGGGAAGGGAGCCACTGAAAAAAAGGGGAAATCCACCCTTCCCACAAGGCATTGCAAGCAGAGCCTGGGAGAGGAGGAGGGGCAAGACCTACCAGGGGTTGATGGGGTTGGTGACCCTGGAGCGCCAGAAAAGAGTCTGTAGGTCTCGTCGCATGCATTCCCACAGCATCTGTCCTGAGCCCTGGCCCTGGCGACTGGAGCTCACCACAAACTTGTCCAGGTATGGGGTGCCTCCCAGCACTGGCTCCATAGTCAGAATGGCAGCTGCATTGTACCTGGCCAGTGGGAAGAGGTAGGCTGGGACCTCACCTTAGGACGTGACTGTCCCTGGACCTCGCTCTCTGGGCTCACAGGCTCACCCCTCAGAGAAATAGATGGAGTGCAGCCGTGGGCGCAGTGAAGCCAAATAGTCATCTCGGAGCTTCTTGCCAAAGCTGGCATTGACCAGGTTCACCAGGCGACCCTGGTCCAGGCTGTCCAGGCTCTGCACTCTCAGTGTCCGCTCTGCATTCTTGAACAATGTCCCAGATCCTGGGAGTATGATAAGGGCAAAGAGGCAGTTAGCACAGAAGCTGATCCTACCTCCTCCTCCACCAGATCAGAGTTCCAAAAAGATAAGGGGCTGGTGGGACAGTTCCCCTCCATAGGAGAGCATCACAATGAAATGACCCCTGCCATCTGCATAGACTTTTCACTCCTGGGGATGACTGTCAGGACATTTTGTCTTCCAAATCGTGTACTATGTAGTCTCACCTGTTGTTAAGTGATGGTCAGTGTCCCAAAGTCGGTTTGACTCCTAGGGTGGCCCTCTGACAACACTGTAACACTGCCAGCCCTATCCTATTCCCATAGGGAGCTCTGGTATCCTAGTGGTAAGGAGTTCCATTTCCAACCCAAAGTTGGACAGTTCTAATCTACCAGCTGCTGCAGAGGAGAAACATGGACAATCTCCCATGTAATTTACAACCTCTGAAAACCCTCTGGAGGGTCAACCATGAGTTGGTTCTGATTGGATGACAATGATTGAGAGAATATCACTCCCACGATCATTGCAGTTTGTGCCCAATCTTACAGTCACTGTCAATCTAGCTCCTTTAGGAATGTGCTCTCCTGCTAACCTGCTTTACCAATTGTGATGTCCATTTCTAGGAGTTGGTCATTCCTGATAATACGGCCAAAGTAGTTGAGAGAATTCTTGCTTTTACTGAGTATTCTGGCTGTATTTCTTCCAACATAGATTTAGTCCTTCTGTCATTCCATGGTATAGTCAATTATTTCTTCACCATAGCTCTGGTGGCCTAGTGGTAAGAAGCTGTGCTGCAATCCTAAAGGCATTCTGTTCAAGGCCACCAGCTGCGCCTGGGGAGAAGTCTGGGCAGTCTCCTCCCACGCAATTAACTGCCTCTGAAAACTGGCTGGAAGGTCAGCAATGGGTAGGTTCTGACTCACGTACACAACCACCACCACCCTGATTAAAAGGCATCAATTTGTCTTCTGTCATACTTATCACTATACAGCTTATACCATGATTTGGGTGAGGTGCAACTTTGTCCTCAAGAAGATATCTTTTTTGGGTGGCTCTGGTGGCCTAGTGGCAAGAAGCCACACCGCAATCCCAGAGGTACGTGGTTTTAATCCACCAGATGCTCTACTGGAGAAGGAGGAACAATCTCCTCCTGTACCAGTCAGATCTGATTTGATGGTACACACACAAAAATAATAAATTTTTTTTAAAAAATCTTTTTTTTTTTAACAGTGTAAAGAGATCTTCTGCAGCAGATCTGTCCAGTGCCATACATCCTTTGATATCTTGGTTGCTGCTTCTAAGGATGTTCATTATAAATCCAAGTGAAATGTCAGAAAAACCTCAAATTCACAGCTGTCTAGTCAGAACTCAAAACTCATGCGGGTTTTCAGAGGCCATTAATCACAAGGGAGGAGATTGCTCATCTTTCTCCAGGGGAGCAGCCGATTGATTTCCTTACCCACAAGGCCCCAGAGTTCCCAGAATAAACTCTTGGGGTGTACCTTCAAGTCAGAACCAACTCATAACTGACCCTTCAGCAGGTTTACAGAGTCAGTTAATCAATCACACAGAAAGAGATTGCCCATCTTTCTCCCACGGAGCAGATGGTGGATTCAACCCTCATACCTTTGAGGTGGCGGGATAATTTCTTACCACTAAACCACCAGAGCACTTTGGAGTGTGGATGCCAGAGTGGTGGTGGTGGTAGTAGAGTGAAGAGTAAAATGTAGTTCCACCTAATCCCCCAGTCCCACCCCTCTTCCCACATCCTGTTTTCTTCCCCAACCCGAGCCCCGCCCCTCCACCGGTATCCCCCTCCTCACCTCCCCTGTGGGCACGAAGCCATTGTCCTGGCCCTCCCCTACTGACTTCCCTGGCCTGGCAGGCACTTCCCCTGTCTACCAGCACCCAGGCTGCGCCCTCACCGGCCTCACCCTTGTTGCTGAAGAGCTCAGTGAGCAGCGTGCTGGCGGCAGTGATGACAGCGGAGGCGTGGTGGGGCAGGCGGCTGAGCACGTCCACGATGAGCCGCATCTGCTGCCTCTCCTTGGTGCTCACCCACTCGGCGTTGGTGACCAGGTCCAGGTCGGCAGGCAGGTTCACATTACTCAGGACCTGCGGCCCGAAGGAGGGATGTGAGGCTCCCTTGACTCCTAGGCCGCGCCTACCCGCTCCCTAACCCCTTTACCGGAGTCCCGGGGTGGGACGCACCTTGTGGCTGGAGTCGCGCAGGCCGCCTGTGGTATTGAGGAAGATAATTTTGGTGGGTTGCAGCGCCTTGGCCAGCGCCGCGGTCACCTCCAGCGAGTCAAGGAGCACGGAGCGGCGCGCGGCCGTCTCCCCGATGGGACACAGGATGGGGATGCTACCTGACTCCAGGCACCACTGCAGCAGGTCTGTCTCCACCGAGACGATGCCGCCGTAGCTGTGGGATAAAAGTGGTGCTGCCAGGCCTTGGGGTGGGGGCAGGGGATTCCCGCCGGGCATGCTCATCGGGCCCTGGGGCGCTGGGCCCGTACTCACCTGGCATGAGGGGCTGGTTCGGCGGCGCTCAGCACTGACCCGCCGCCAAAGAAGGGCACTGCGGTGGCGGCGTTGTGCCGGAGCGCGTCCACCAGCACCTTGCAACTCTGTGCGAGCTGTGCCTTGGCCTCCCAGAAGGAGAGACAGCCCGAAGGCGCCGTGGGGGCGGGCAGCCCCAGGACTACCAGCGGCTTCATGTCCATGCGCTGCAGGAAGGCCAGGGCGAAGGCCAGGCTGGACACCGCTTCCCGGCACTGGACCACCTCCTCGTCCACCTGTCGGGAAGTGGCATGGGGCCGCTGCTGCACACTTCTCACCAAGCCGTCTGCTCCCGCAGCCTGGCACCACCCTAGGGACCTGCTTGTCCCCACCCTCCCTAAGAGCTCTCAGCCTCCACGCTGGCCACCGGAGCCCACCTGCTCGACCTTTGACCACTTGCTCCTGCCACCCCTTATCTCACACCAGCGCTCCTCCTCCGCTCCTCTCCGTGGCCTTGGACTCTGAGGCACACCGGAGTGGGGTGACGCAGGTGGCTCCTGTCCTGGTTCTACTGCGAAGGACCAGCAGCCAGCCCTCCCGTGACCCAGGACATGTTGTCACACAAGGCCGATGGCCTCGCTGTGACACGGCGGGCCTCACCTCGATGACAGCGAAGGGCTTGTCCGAGGAGTGGTGGCAGGTCTGGAACTTTGTGAGCCAGTGGCTCGCCTCCCCGGGGCTGGCCCCGCACTGGCTCAGGAAGGCCTGGATGTCCCGCTGCACCAGCGAGCGGCCGGCGGGGTGCTCGGGGAGCTCCGGGGGCTCGAGGGGCGCCGGGGGCGGGCTCCACGACGGCTCCCCGGCCCCGGGCGCAGGCGCTGCGTCCTCGGCACCCTCGGCCTCCTCACGCGGGGGCTCAGCGGCCGCCCTGGCGGTGCTGAGCCGACGTCCGGGGCTGGCACCCCCCGCGGTCCGCCGCCTCGCGCTGCAGCTCAGCCTCCTGGCTTCCCTAGGGCCTCGCGGGCCATGCAGCAGTGGGGTCACGCGCAGGGCCTGGGCCACCCGCGCTGTTGCCATGACAGCCAGCCCAGCTAGCCCCCTCCACAAGTGACCATCTGTCTGCAGCACCGGCTTCTGGGGGGCTCTTAACTTGCTGTAGGGGTGGGGCTGAGGTCAGTCGGGGCGGGGCCAGACAGGGGTACAATGGGCCCTGGGCAGTCAGGGGGCGGGTTCCCCAGAGGCCCCGCCTTAGAGGAGGTCGGAACCGGTAATTTGGGTCACGAGGCTGAGAGGTAAGGGTGGCAGGGCGTCTTTGAACTGCTGCCAAGAGCGATACCAGAAAAGTCTCAGAAAAAGAAAGCCCCAGGTGATTTCGGGGTCTGCAGGGATTTGGTGAGGGTGGACTCTTAAAGGACCTCTGCCTAGAGTCCTGGTGGTGCAGTGGTTAAAGCACTAGCCTGCTAACCTGAAGGTCTGTTCAAACCTCCAAGTCTAGAAAGCTATGACAGTCAGCTTCACGGATTGCAGCCTTGGAAACTCTTTGAGACGACTGCATCCTGTCTTAGAACCAACCCAGTACTTTAGAGTTGATTATCATTCAGAGTGATCTTCCTTTGGGCTTCCACAACTGTAAATCTTTATGAGAAAGCTCTGATGGTCTAAGAGTAAGGAGTTGTGCTGCCACCCCAAAGATGCGTGGTTCGAATCTCCACTGGAGAAAGATGGACACTCTCCTCCCATGCAATTTACAGCTGTTAAAAACTGGCTGGAGGGTCAGCAATGATTCATTTCTAGCTCGGTACATAACAACCACCACCTCCACCACAACAAATCTTTATGGGAGAACACTGCCCAGGAGCTGTGGATTTGAACTACCAACTCTTCGGTTAGCCCTGTGCCATCAGGGCTTCTTACTCTGTCTTCTTGTTATGTGTGATCCAGTCGGCCACAATTTATGGCGACTTTGAACAACCGATCAGAACCTTGCCCTACCCGCAGATGACCTATGTTTGTGCCCACTGTCAATCCAACTTGTTGAAGGCCTTCTCTTCCTCTGATCCTGCCACCTTTCCCAACATGAACACTCAACAGAAATGTGTGTGTGGAGGGGGTTGTTTTGTTTTGCAGTTTTTGTCTAAAGTTAGAAAGGAGTGCAGGGTGGGACTCAGCAGATTTGGAGGGGAATAGAGACACGAAGAGAGGGATGCCTGCCTTAGCTCTGTTGTCTGAGCTTCTGGAAGATTCTTATAGATCATCAAGACTTTTGCTATATTCTTGCATCAGCTATTAGCATTACCTTGAAACCTATAAAAACAGTTCTACTCTAGATTCATGCTCTTAAGCAAGATTTGAAAAGGACTTGAAAGAGAAAAACTTTTACAGGATATGATTCAGTGTTACTTAATACTGTGTCCCTGTGCTGAACAACTTTGTTCCCCATCGAGGATAAATATCCCCTTCCTGAGGACATGTTGAACCAGTCCAGCCCTCTGTGGTTATAGAGGAGGAAACAGAGATTAGAGAGAGGAAGTGACTTGGCCAAGGTCAGTCAATGTCATCGTTAGACTCAGGCATCCCAAGTCTCTACCCTCTGCTCTTTCCTTCTTGCAGGACTGTATGTATGGTCCCTGCACTAGGAATCAAGGCTCCTGGGGCTCTGTCTAAATGGAGCTAGTGGTTTGACTTCTCCTCTGAGTGTCCCAGAAGATGCTGAGTGAGTGAGTGCTCCCTTTCTGCGTCTCTCCTACACCACCACCACCACACCACACACTCAAACTGGGAGTGTGTGTCCCAGTCTAGAGACTTCTGAAGAGAGGGAAGACCTGATCTCTCTGATCTCTGAAGTCTTCCATCAGAGATTCTGTTTTCTTGCTTAGCAATCTTGGTCCTGAGGCTGGAGTGAAAGCATGTGGCACAAAGGTGCTGCATCCCCTCACCAATTCCTCCTCTTTTTCCTTCCCAGCATTCACCAGAAGAGGTAGTCCTAGCCCCTGGGGGCCTCCTAGTTGTTTTTCTCCCCAATTTCCTCTCTGCCCTAAGAGCCCCCAACGTCCTTTTTCAAAGTCCTGCATCCTAGATCTCCATTAAGTGCCATCTCTGTCTGCACAGATCTCTCTCTGCTTGAGACTCCTCCTCCTCTCTTTCTCTCTGATATGAATTGAATTTCCTCAAATGAATTGGTTCCTCAAAATACATGTTGTAAATCCTTATCGTTACAGTTCTGGTGGCCCAACAATGGTAAGGAGTTGCCCTCAAGACATGTGGGTTGCTCAACCAAATAAATACTTTACTTGCTGAAAACAAAGACTGACAAACTGATAACATTTACTGATAAAGATGAAAGACTATGGCCTTTGGTATGGATTACACCTCAACATAAGCAAAAAGCTTCACAACTGGAACAGTAAGGAACTTAATGATAAACAGAGGAAAGGTTAAAGTTGTCAAGGTTTTAAGGGAGTTCTGGTGGCCTAGTGGCAAGAAACTGCACTGCAATCCCAGAGGCATGTGGTTCAAATCCACCAGATGCTGTCCTGGAGAAAGAGGGGCAATCTCCTCCTGTACCAGTTGGATCTGATTTGACAGTAGACACACCCAAAATAATAAAAGGGGGAAAAAAGTTGTCAAGGTTTTGATTTTAGTTGGATTCCCCAGTCAACTGCTCATGGAAGCAAAAGTGAAGAAATCAAATGACATTATTGCATTTGATAAATCTGCTGCAAAAGGACTTCTTTAAAGTATTTAAGAGCCAAGCTACCATTTTGAGGTCTAAGACCTGCCTGACCAAGCCATGATCTTTTCAGTTGCCTCCTATACACCCCAAAGTTGGATAATGAATAAAGAAGGTAGAATTCATGCCTTTGGATTATATAGTATTGGTGAAGAATATTGAAGGTACTGTGGCCTGCCAGAAGAACAAATAAATCTGGATGAGGTATATCCAGAATGCTCCTTAGATGTGAGGTTAGCAAGACATCATCTCACACACATCAGACATGTTCTCAGAATGGGTCAGTTCCTGGACAAGGACATCATGCCTGGTGGAGTATAGGGTTAGTGAAAGAGAAGACCCTCGATGAGCTGGGTTCACACAAGGTCTGCAACAATGGGCTCAAACAGCAGTGAATCTGAGGATGACACAGGACTCGACAGTGTTACGTTCTGCTGTGTGTAAGATTATTCTGAGTCAGCACCAACTTGAGGGCACAGACAACAGCAAAATGCCTGTGGCTATAATCCCATTTGGGGATGAATTGTTTGTTGTATTAATGAATTGGGGTTACCACAGGATGCTTTTGAGTCAATCTTTTACAAAATATAAATGGAGCTCATTAAGCAAGGGGCAACAGGGGATGACAGATGCATGCTATGTGAAGATCACCAAAGAGCAAAGACTTTCCCCAGAGCCAACAGAGAAAGTAAACCTTTTCCTAGAGCCAATACCCTGAATTTAGATTTCTAGGGCTGTAAACTAAGAGAGAATGAAGTTCTGCCATCATGCACATCCTCTCTCATTTCTCTGAGGCGCTGCTCCTGCATCCCTCTCAGTCCTGATACATTCTCCCATGAGGTTCTTTCCCCAGCTTAGGCTTAGTCAGCAAAATCACTAGAGGGAGGTCAGGAGTGTGTCACTGGCTGACACTATTAGAAGGAGGTAACATAAAAATAACTGGCTATACATTTTTATGTGTAGAACTTCAACAGAAGTATACTCTTGTGTACAAATATCCCTGTAGTTAGTTATAACAACAAAAACATTTTTCATAAGTCCAGCTTAGATTTTCCAATATAACTACAAGGTTAAATCTTGATGATAGTTTACTTTTTGAACCTTCTCATGTGCTCTGTCCGACCTGTCATTATTACTCAGTGATACTTTGAATCATGTGGTTTCATCTACATGCAAACGCAACATACACGCACATGCTTTTTTCTTTGCTGCCAAAGTTTTTATAGATGCTGATAACAACTTTTCTGGTGTTTTAGTTACAATAGTGTGGCAAGTGGCATTTTTTAACCTGCTAATAACTTTTTTTGGGGCCCAGAAGTAGTAATTAAAGGAAAAGAAGGAGAAAAAGGGGGGGGGATTACTAGTTATAATGCAACAGAAAGATTTCTTAAGGCAATTTTGCTTTTGTTGTGTATCGTGGAGTCCAAACCATAGCTGACCCTCCAGCAGGTTTTCAGAGGCAGTAAATCACACAGGAGACTACTCATCCTTCCCCTGCACAGCAGCTGCTGAATTTGAACCGCACTCCTTTAGGATTGCAGCACAGCTTCTTACCACTAGGCCATCAGAGCTCTCATTTTGTAGTTGTTGTTGTTATGTGCCATCAAGTTGCTTGCGACTCATAGCAACCCTATGTTCAAGAGCCCTAAACCCTGCTCTGTCATGTGCCAACCTCACCATCTGACACACTCACTCCCACCACCCCAATCACAGAATTGATCCATCTTATCCAGGGTCTTCCTCTCCTTCGCTGCCCCTCCATTCTCCCAAACATGATGTCCCTCTCCAAGGGCCAGTCCCTCCTTGCAACATGCCCAAAGTATGTCAGATGAAGCTTCAGAATCCTTGACTCCAATGAGCATTCTGGCTTCACTCACCTGCTCCAGGACAACCCTGTTTGTTCTCCTAGCAGTCCATGGGTTATTCAATACTTTTCTCCAGCACCACAACTCAAAGGTATCAATTGTCTTTCTATAATCCCTATTCACTGTCCAACTCTCTGATGCATAGCACATAATTGCAAAGACCATAGCCTGGATCAGGCACACCTTAGTCTCCAGCATGACCTCATTGCTCTTCAGTACTCTTGAGAGGTCCCTCACAGCTGACTTTCCCAATGCAATTCATCTCCTGATTTCCTGGCTGCTTTTACCAAGAGTGTTGACTGTGTAACCAACTAAACTAAAACCGTTAACTCTCTCAATCTCTTCACCATCCATACTGATGCTACCAATTGGCCTAATGGTAAGACCTATAATCCAGCCCTGGTGGCCTAGTGGCAAGTAGCTGCACTGCAGTCTTGAAGGCACAGAGTTTGAATCCACCAGTTGCTCTGTGAGAGAAGGAT